TTCATGCTGCGGTGAAAGCTATATCCGGTCGTTGCTTCCTAAAATGCGAGACTGCTTTTTCCCTCTAACAAATTCCTTTCCTTCCTCAGTATTAGCCCCACTTGATGCAAAAATATAGACTGAACAGATCCTGAAGTCATTTCACATTTTAAAACACAAGTAGAGTAGGAATTGAAGATGCTTTTCTAAATAACAAAAGCCAAAGATGATTTCTTAAAAATTAACTGGCAGTGTTGTACTTAGTGAAGTGACAGTGCATTTTTACTAACGTCAGGACTGTGAAAGTGATATGCAGATACTGTTTCTCCTGCTACTTGTGTTGCACAAGGTGCAAGATAAAGAAATAAAACCAAAATACAGTGAATATTGGGACGACAACAATTTGTATATTTATTGAGAATGTAATTGTCTTCCTTGAATACCTATTAGAATCATGTGACAAGGTGTTTAACAAATGAGCTCAGGAAACAGACAAAATTACAGAATAAATATATCAATAATCAAAATAAAATGTGGAAAAGGTCTCATTCACCGAACTGACAAGTATATAACACGGTTGGGAATAACCTTTACAAGGAATCTAAAGACAAATTTAGGGGAAAACTAACATTTTGGAAGTTCTTGCTTCTGAGCGAGGAGACTTGAACATTACAGAGATGCCAGTCCTTTGAGTTTAGGCATTTACTGTAGTTAGAATCAGAGCCTGACTGTGGTTGTCATCACCGAGATTGAGTGCAGGCCCTTGCACGTGGAAGGCACGTACACCTGCAGTCCTCCTTAATTTTATTTTGAGACAGGGTCTCAAACTTGCCACCCTCCTGTCTCAGCCTCCCACATACCAAGGATTACAGGCCCATCCCACCTGCCTGCTTCAGATAAGGTTTGTAACTTAAATTTTTTTTTTAATTTCACAGAACTTGGATTATAAAGGACTATTTTTTTTAGAAAAATTTAAAACATATTAAAAGGTATTGTAAAGCTATAGAAATCAATATAAGTGCCGGGGATTTAGCTCAGTGGTTTCACCACCTGCTGCGTAAGCGTGAGGACCCGAGTTCGATCCCCGGTACCAAAATAAATAAATAAATAAATCGACATAGTATGGTATTAGTATAAAATTCAGTAGTAGGATCATTGGAGAAAATTGTGTAGCCTGCACATAAACCTAGAAATATGCATACAGTTGTATTACGGAATACTAACATCTCAAATTGAGGGAGAAAGGGAATCGCAGTCAATAGTGCTAGGACATTTAGTTCATCCTGGGGTTGAAAATAGTAAATTAGGGGCCAGGGATTTAGCTCAGTGGTTCTGCTGCCTGCCTCCCAAGCACAGGGTCCCAAGTTTGATCCCCAGTACCAATAAAAAAAAGAAAATAGCAAATTAGTCCCTTCACATTTTTCTTGTTACCAAGATAATTATAGGTAAACAATTATTGTGACATACGAAGCAAATAAATTATTAGAAATTTTAGACAAATATGTATTCTTTTTTTCTTTTTCTTTGGTACCGGGGATCAAACTCGGGTCCTTACGCTTGCAAGGCAAGCGGCGGAACCACTGAGCTAAATCCCTGGCCCCTAAATATGTATCAGTTTTTAAAACAAAGGAGAAAAACGATAAAGGAAAAGATTTGATGTCTAGTTAAATGACAAATGAATTGTCAGATGTCTCTTAGCTAAGATCAAACAAAAATCAGAACAAAAGACTGATTTCCTTTTCTACATTTGCAATTCCAAATCAATAAGAAAAAGATTACCAATCCAGTAGAGGGAAAAGTAACTGAAGGATGTTAACAAGCAGTTTGTAGAAAAAGAAACCCTAATGGGATCAACCCTCGGAAAATGCTGTGCTCACTGGTATCCTAGGGGCATGGACCAAGGTAACAGAAGCTGCTGTTTCGGCCTCAGGCTGGTGGGCAGTAGGCATGAGGCTTCTCAGGTACCGTGGGGGTAGGAATTGGCTTGATCTGTTTTAAAACTCTGACAATGTCTGTACCAAGCCAGCACTTCCTCTGCTAGGAGTTGACCCACTGGCTGTATGTGCAAAGCTGACCCAGACAGGTGTGAGGACATTGATTTGGTGGCGGTAAAGAGCAAGGCGGATTGTATGGCCCCAACTCTTGAGTGTGCAAACTGGAAGACTTCAGATTTAATTATGCATTCCTTTTCTCAAGGAGATGAAAATTAGAGATTTTATGTTTCCTCATCTGCATTTCCTAAGTTTCCTCTAACAGGAGCTACCTATATAATCAGAAACTGAACTCTGGTCTTTAAAGCAGCCCTGGAAGCCATCTAGTCCCCATCCCACCCCACCCAGCCGTGCCAGGCTTCTCAGGGTCCCCGCGACAGTGAAGGAGTGCGTGGCTTGGGTGACCTTCCTGCTCGTCCGTGGCCTCAGTTTCCCTTAGTTCCCACTGCCCCTAGCCAGACACCCCGGTCTCCCCCAGTCCACTCAGTTACTAAAGGATGTGGTGTGACCAGCGATGAATGGAGCCCTGCCCTGGCCGGCGCGTGGTGCTGACAGGTCAGAGCGCCCTTGGAAGCGGCGTGCATGACTGTAGAGCCCAGAAGTGAGATACCAGGCCTGGGCCACCAGAACCAGCAGCTGTGCCGGGTGGGCCACTGCTGTGAGTCTCACTTGCCCCGAGCCCACTCACTCCAAAGGATAGCTTGTTTTTTTTTAACTTTCATATGAAAATTTTTAATTTTCTCAACACTATGAATAATGAAACTCTCTTGTTTCAGGTTGCTGAAGCACACGTGCCTAATTTCATTCTTGATGAGTTCAGAACAGTCCTGTAACTTTTCTTCTACTTTACAATGAAAGGATTGTCCTTGAATCTTCCCACCATCACTAAAATGGATTTGGAAAAGAAACTCAGCTGCTCACCTAACTGCATTTTCCCCTCCATTGTGGGTAACATCAGTCTGAGGAAGGTGTATTTCCCGGTACTGGTCATGTGTAGAAGCAGAACACATTTTTGTACAGCCTCTTATAAATGCTGAATGTAATTGTGACGTATAAACCCATTTAGTTTTGAGTTCTAAAAAACTATTTGTGCAGCTCCAAATTTTCAGTAAAATTGTATTGCCAGTACCCAAGTTGTCCATGTGCATGTTTATAATTCCAGCACTCTAGGAGGCTGAAGCAGGAGGATCCCAAGTTTGGGTAACTTACTGACTTAGCAAGACTCTGTCTCGAAATAAGAAATAAAATGGCTGGGGGGCCTGGGATTTAGCTCAGTGGCACCATGCCTGCCTTGCAAGTGCAAGGTCCTGAGTTCACTCACTGGTACAAAAAAATAAATGGCTGGGGATGTAGCTCAGTCCAAAGGCCCTGGGTTCAGTCCCCAGTATCGCCTAGTAAAAGTATATGCACTGTGTACAAACCTTGCTTGGAAGGCTGCAGCACACTCAGCCCACCACGAGAGCTGGTCGGCACAGGGGAGCAGTGGGTAGTGACTGTACTGTCCGCAGCCCGCATGGTGCAGAAGCTCTGGTGTCCATCTGCTCAGTCCTGTACCCTGGGGTGCAGGAGCCAGCAGCTCCTTGACTCCCTCACTTCCGCTACAGCCCGAGCCCCATCCCAGTGCCCACAACCATATCCATAAGCTTTCTGCTAGGGCCGGGGATTTAGCTCAGTGGTTCTGCTGCCTGCCTTGCAAGCGTGAGGTCCAGAGTTCGATCCCCGGTACCAAAAACCCCCAAAAACTACTTCCATAAGCTTTTTCTAGTAAGCATTTAACTCCCTCAGAATCCTGACTTCTATAGGAAAATTGCTACAAAAGGGAGCTACAGTGGCAACTTGGGACATCAACAGTTTAGTAGATGAACTAGGAAGAAGTTTTTGCTCTGACCCTGTGGCTAGCCATGTCCTCTGATGAGAGGAACAAACAGAACTAAAATGGTAAAGTCTGGTTCACAAACATCACCCAGGGCCCGTGCGCCCGGGATGTGGCATCCAGCCTGTGGGCTGCTGGACAGTGGTGGAACCTTCAGACGCAAGGCTCAGAGGAAGGCAATTGGGTCACTGCAGGTTGCCCTGGAAAGGGGGTGTTGGGACCGTGGCCCCATCCTGCCCCTTCCTTTGCTTCTCAGCTACCCTAAGGTAAGCAGACCTCTGCCATGTCTCCTGCCAGTGTACTGTTGCTATCAGCCCAAATGACCATATTGAAACCCCTCACACCGTGAGCCACAATAAATCTAAGATGATTATCCCAGGTATTTAGTCAGAGCAGTGAAAGCTGAGTAGCTCACAAAACCCAGAGCCTAAAAGTGCTGGACAATCATTTATCAAGTTGCCGAGGAAGAAGCACCGTTTATAGTCAGGGGACAAACTTGGTTCTACCAATAGCTAAACCTTGCTCCAGGCCAGCCTGTTTTGGTCATGTGTAAAATTTGGGCTGAGTGATTTTTCAGGTTCCTTCAGTTTTCTGATTTTAAAAGTTGTTTCTTTTTGTCAGAAGGCCCCAGATCCTAAGGTACTGAAAAAGAAGGAAGAGAAGAGGAAGAACAGGACAGTGACTTTATAGGCTTTGCTTTTCATTGTCACAGTCAGTGGAGAAGGGAAGCCTCGGACCCCAGTACTGATGAGGTGTCCAGGCTCACAAGAGGACTTGTTTGCAGGACTGGGGGCGGAGCTGAGGCCTCCGGCCAGCCAAGCAGGAGCTGCACCAGGGAGCGCCCCGCACACCCACTGGGCCAGAGGGACGAAGCAAATGGGGGGTGGGGGCAGCCGTGCCACAGAGATACCTGGCTGTCTCACTGTCCACACTTAGCAGACAAACGAGGTGAGATGTCTACCTGGGGAAAGCCAGCTGCTGAAAATGCCAGACCTAAGAGCTTTTAATCATAAAACAAGTTTAGAGCAAGGTGGAGGGGAAGCTCGTGACGGGGAATAAATGAATCCACCACGTGCTCTGCTCAAACCAGGGATGACAGAAACGGATGCTGCAGTCAGCTGGCCAGTGAAATAGCTTCTCAAGCAAAAGAGAAAACGTAAAAATTCAAGTAAGTTTTTATTGTAAGTGTATAAATCATTTTTATCTCCATCATTAGACTTTCAGGTTATATTGTACTGCGATTATTTTCCTGGCATTTAGAGATTTGCTCAGATTTTAACGATGCCCAGGACAGAGGCCTCCATAACCTCTTCAGTGCTCATTTAGCAAGACTGGTTTTGCAAATCACCATGAGCTGTTTTTTATTCAGCAAGAGGTGATGTTTACTGAGGAAATACCACAGTGAACCAAGTGTCGGGCACAGGCCTGTAAGCCCAGCACTCGGGGAGGTGAGGCAGCAGGTGGCTAGCCTGGGTGACTTAGCAAGAACCTGCCTCAAATAAAAAATGATAAAAAGGCTGAGATGAGGGCTGGGGATGTAGCTCAGGGGTGGAGCGCTTACTCTGCAGGCACAAAGTCCTGAGTTCAATCCCCTGTATCACAAGAAAGGGCTGGGATGTAGGTCAGTGAGAAGGCACTGCATACAATCCAGAGTACCTCAAAAATAATTAAAATTCTAACTGATTTTACAGCATTACTCCACTTCTTAGAAGTATTCATTTGTTCGTTAACTGTTTCCTGAGATAATGCTGGCCTTGCTTATTAGTGTCACAGAAAAGAATGTGTAAGCTTTTTGCTATTCCTTTAAGGATCTGATATTTTCAGAGCACTCAGAAAAAAGCTTCAGAAAACTGCCCTCGGATTAGGTGAAGGGGATAAGATACCTGCCCCAAAGTCAGGGTGACCTAAAGGACAGGTCTCTGCTCTTCCCATCTCACTTTGTTTTTTCTCCCCTCACCAAGCAGCTATGCAAAGCAGCCCACAAGAAAGCTGTGAGGATTCACCATTTTATTTGGATGACCCAGGACTTGTTCCGAACACTGAGATCAAAAGAAAAATAGTTCCTCAGGTTAGCACAAACTTAGGGTCACAATCATTTCTTTTAAATACCTAGCTTATTTTACCCTTCATTTTAAATTGTAAATTAAGGCATATATTTACATGCTTATATACAAAAAGTCAAAAACAAAGCACTCCCAATCTTGGTCCCAGAGGTTCCACTGTAGAAGCAGTATAGTAAGGTACTACGCTAGATGCACTCTCCACTCTTCTGAGAAGTCCTGAGGACATGGTGCGTTCAAGTGGTCCCTTTAAGCTTAATGAACCATGTATTTCATTTCTGAGTAAATCAGAGGAAATATGACAGCACACGCTTTGTAAATTACAGCACCACTGCTGAGAAGGGCTCGGGGTTTTGTAATCCAAGGTTCCGACTTAAAGCAAAAATACATGGCATAGGCTGCGACAGCAAAGAAGTGTCCAATTAAAACTAGAGGGTCTGGAGACAACCTGTAATAGAAAAGGAAAAAGAATGGGTAGGAGCCAGAGACAAAAATTCACTCATAAAAGGTACCAAATATGGATCATCTATAAAGCTCAATACATATTATACATTTTAGAAGGGTTTACAAACTTGTCTGCCTGTTACATTTGATGGCAAGAACAGAATGATTGTGTACAAGAAATTAAGAGTATCTCTTTCAGAGAGGCCAGTAATTCCTCCCTCACTCCCAAGCTTTCGTTAATCCTGACCCCAGGCTGGAGTACTGGATGCCCTGGCCCGTTGGAATCTAGGCTTTCACAAAAAATGGCAGTAGTGACAATCAGATTATAGATGAGTGAAAGCTGACTCAAAAAACTTCATTTTGCAGACTTTCCAAGAACAGTTCTACATATGTCTACACTGTCAAAATTAATACTTGGATTCAGGCATTCTACACTTCGATCAAATTAATTTTTGTAATTTGGGTTTTTCATATACAAGAAACCACATTATATTTAAACTTGTGTGTCTGATTTATTTCACTTAACATTATGGTCTCAAGGTGCACCCATATTCCTAGAAATGGCTCAAGTTTATCTTTATGGCAGAGTAGTACTCCATTGTGTGTAAATACCACATTTTCTTTATCCATTCATCAGTGGATGGACATTTAGGCTGCTTCTAAGATTCAGTTTTTATGGATTGTGCTGCTATAAACATGGGTATGTATGTATAAAGAGCAAAATAAAAGATAATAGGAAGTAGGGGGTAGATCTTTCAAAGATGGGAAGGGGATCAAGACAGGAAGTGGGGATTAAAAGGGAATTAAGATGTGTTATGGATGGAGCCGGGGATTTAGCTCAGTGGTTCCGCCACCTGCTGCGCAAAGCACAAGGACCTGAGTTCGATCCCCGGTACCAAAAAAAAAAAGATGTGTTATGGACATGAACCAACTCCACACAAGGAATGTAAACATTATGTACTGCAAACACATACTAATAAAAAATTAATTTTTAAGTTCTCATTTCTCAGTTATGCATGGTTCCCACAGATAAGCCCATGCGGATAAACCTCAAGCTTTTTTAAAAGCGAGCTTCCACGTTAATGGAGGGTTTTAGCCTCCCTCCACACCACTCCTAATGGGCACTGTTCTCCGAGTGTGAAACAGTGTTCACCAATGTCTTCTTTCCATTCTTGGGGCCACTTCTGACTGGGATATGATGGATAGTAAGGTGACAAAATGCATAGGGAAGAGGGATTTCCATACACTGAACAGGCCTAAGAAAATCTGGAACACGTTTCCTCTCTGACATCAAAACAACTTACACAGAAAGCAGTCCAACGGGACCAGCAACACACCGTCCACCAAGTTTGAAATAAAGAAAACAGGCTCTTCTTAGTTGATGTAAGGAATCTAAAATGAAACTTTAAAATTACTCTCAATCAAAATACACATTTCACACCTGCCTCCCAAGCCTGAGGGTCCTGAGTTCGATCCCCAGTACCGGAAAAAAAAAAACACATTTAGGGTACTAATGATATGTCAGAAAAAATAAAATACAACAAATACCAAGCCTTACAGATAACTTTTAAATATGTAGTCCTAAAATTTAAGCATTCAAAATTTCTTTTAAATTTTATAGTCATTATTATGGGTGGTAATACTTGTATGAATAAACTTGCTTCTGTTAATAAGTGATTGCCAACATTTAGGTCTCGGAAATTAAGAGGTGTTTAAAGGTTATTTGATTTTGTTGTAAATTCATTAAATGATCCAAAATACTTTAAACTCTTACTATTAAAAAATAACACAATTCTAGAAATCAAATTACCAGTTCCTGAGATGCCCAATCCATATCTCCATGGAGAATGTAAAAGGAATAGCTATCAATAATGTCTTATCTGTATAAATTTTAAATACTTTTCAAAGTAATTCATTAACCTTCACAACACAGTTTAATAATCAGTAACCTTTGTAACAGTTTAGAATCAATGTTTTTTTGAGGTATGCTTAGATTTTTCTAAACAACAGATTTTTTTTAAAGATGCAAAAGATAAACTTTTGTTCCAATAAAATCCTTTCCTTCTCCAATCATTAATTTTTTGGGGTTTTTTTGTGTGTGTGTGTTTTGTTTTTTGGGGGGGGGGTTTGGTACCAGGAATTGAACTTGGGACCTTGTGCTTGCGAGGCAGGCGGCGGAACCACTGAGCTAAAAAATCCCCAGTCCCATTAATTTTTTTAATGTTGCTTTGTTGGTGGATTCCAATTTATAATGTAAGACTACAAGAACTTAGAAAAGCTCAGAATGAGAAACTTACTTTATATTTGTCCACCCAAACATTTTAACTTCCACACCAATTTAGCTAGAGATTTGTTTTGCAAATCATGAGTTTTCTTTTTCAGCAAGAGTTGATGGTCGAAGAGGCTACAGAAAGCATTTATATTGTATCGTCTTTAGCAACCATCATTAAAGAGCTTAGAAAGGAGCTGAGAGCATTTTGACGTCAGATTTTCTCATGAGGAATGCTCAACCGTTTAGACTGACCATTACCTCTCTCCAATATGGAAACAAAAACCAAAGCATGTGGCTATTTCACATGAGCAAAGGGTAAATTCAGTATACTACTCATGCATTTTACCAGGAGGGAAACTAACCTTACTTTGAAGTTCATATTTATTTTCTAAAATATTACCTTAAAAAAAAGAAATTGAAACTGGTGTTCAGAAAGAAAAAGACCACACTGCCTGTTTACCACAGCTAGAAAGACCTTCCATCACAAGCTTACATTTAAGGGTACGCACAATCCAGTCTGGACCAAGGAACTCAAAATCATGGATACATGAGTGAGGTATCACTATTAACGTTCTCTGAGGGAAGTCAACAGCCTTCCAGACAGTGATGGAATACATGATGATCACAAACTAAAAATCTTACTTCAGGATGGAGTTAAAAAGAACTATCAGTAGGCCCGGGAATTTAGCTCAGAGGTGCCACTGCCTGCCTCATAAGCGCAAGGTCCTCAGTTCGATCCCCAGTACCAAAAAAAAAAGAAAGAACTACTGGTACCCAGCTGGGCGTGGTGGCACAGGCCAGTAATCTCATCACCAGGGAAGCTGGGCAGGACTGACACGAATTTGAGGCCAGCCTGGCTACATAGTGAGTTCAAGGCTGGCCTGAGCCACATAGTGAGACCCAATCTCAAAAGGCCAAAAAACAGATAGATAGACGGTCAGACAGACAGGCAGGCTGACAGAACTACGAACTTAGGAGTCAGCAAACTGAATAACACTAATTTCTAGACTAATTAATAATCTTTGTAATTAAGTTCCTTTACTGTGCTAAAAATCTGCAATTCGATATTGTCCATTAAAAAATATGTATACTTCGAGTTCGATCCCCAGTACAAAAAAAAATAAATATGTATACTTACCATCTCTAGCGGAAAATAATTCATACAGCGCCTGAGCAAGGACATTCACAACAAAAGAGTGAGAATTTTTTCTGGTCCAATAGAATGATTTTTTAGCCTAAAAATGAAAAAGATCACTTATTACACAGTAAAGAGGGAAAAAGGCACAAACTGTAATCCCATCCAACTGATATTTTTATTCGGAGCACTATCACCAAATAATAGTGCCTTATGTTTGTTGTTTGCCAAAAATTCATGTTCAGAGCTATGGATTCTATGACTCTTGATGCTAGATTTACAACCACTGTGAGCATACTGTGCCGTGAAATCCAGTTTTTTGTTATGTTACCATTCAGAAATTCAGGAATTCTGTGAGATTCACAGGTTGCAATTCAGGTTCTTTAAGCCTGAACAAGACTGGCTAAGAATGATGAGGCCTAGGCTCCCAGTACAGATTTCCCCACCAGACCCCTATCACTCTTAGCCCCAGGAGAATGAAAAAGACAAAACCTGTTTTTGTCAGAATAATCTAATAGCTTACCTGCAAAACAGCTGCATCGTCATAAAGGTCAGGGATACCCGTCAGCAGTTTCCTCCACAGCTTTACATCTTTTAGAGCCACAGTCATGCCTCCCCCGGTGAGCGGGTGCCTCACGTTGTATGCATCCCCCAAAAGAAGAACACCTGCAGAGAGATGATAGGGTTACAGTGTCCTGCGCCAGTTTGTTGAAAAAAAACAAAGAGAGAAAAGATTATTCTTATTAGCGTCTAAACATTATTGATGCAAGCTGGTAAATATGAAGAATGTGAAAATACGAGGGAATGAATAATGACTCAAATTTGGCGGGACAAAACTTCAAGACTTGATTCTGTCTGTCTTTATTTGGTACCTAATGTATGCCGGGCACCAAGGAGACCATGAAAGAACAGCATACAAATCTAATGAGAAAGCCAAAGATGTCAACACACTTATTCTTTTTCAAAATAAAAAGGATCTATAAGCATCAGACATAAAGTCTCCTACAAGAGGAAAGCAAATCAACACCAGTGCACCACCGAGAAATGTCTGCTCCTGCAGTGTGAAGGGAAGGTAGCTCTAGGAAATGACAGCCAGTAACGTGCTTCAGCAGAAGATAAAACATTCTCCGTCACCAGATCTTAGGCTCTGCTGACACCTTATGTGAAAATCAACCTCTTGTGTGAAAACCACAGAAGTGCAAAGCCCACAGCTTGCCTCCAGGGCCATCCCGTGCTTAATGACCCATGACACGATGACTTCCACACAAGTATTGATGTCAGGTTAATAGAATTATGGAGAATTCTTTTCTGACAGTCACAATGTAATTACATTTATAACTAATTTTTGAATATATCACTATATTAATATATAAAAAGGTGGCTTCTAAATATTATTTCAAAAATTTATGTCTTACTCTAATACCTGCAATAAAAAGCCAAGTTTCTATTGCTCTGCTTCATGGAATATTCTCAAGCGCACAATTTGAACACAGTCCCACCGCGTGGTGCGTACTTTAGCTGGGCATCAGCTCCATTCTCTGCACCGCCGTCAGTTTCCATGGCTGGCCGTTCATTATGCCACTGTTTCCACAGACACTACCCACTCTTCACACCCAGGAGCCCCATTCCGACCTGCTCCGTTCCCACTCACATGCCCTGCTGATACTTTACACCCACACGTCCAGAAGGGATCTCATCACCTCTCCCAACGCGTCCTGAAACTTTGTTCTTTTTCCTCTTCCCATGGCAGCAAGTGGCTGGCAAAACTACCTATAATCAATCTATCAATAGGCCTCACTCCCTTACTATAGTACCAAGCGTCGCGCACTCTACATCTTAGATATCACCCAAATCCATTCCTTACTCTGCATTTTACGGTCCCGGTTCGGCCTTTTACCATCACTTATGGAAAAATTAAATACCTCACCGTAAGACTGACTAACCATGGGAAACACGAGTTCTGAGTTCCTTAAAAATGCCACCGTGCCTCGGCCTCCGGGGGGCCCAGCAGATGCGACTCCATCTACACGGTCCTTCACCTCGCTGCCCACTGACGATCGGCCACTAAGTCTGAAACGCTGGCTTTCCTCCTGAACAATGGCCCCAGCCTCCAACCCTCAGCCCTCAGAGACTGCAGCACCGTGGAGCTCTTCTCACACACCTCGTCACCAGTGCTGTGAAGCTTATCCTCCACATCCCTGACTACAGTGCCTCCTCCTCTGCTGTATGTCCGATGACTGACACCAAGTCATACTGATTACTAACTACACAGATCATAAAACTAAGCTTTGTATGAGTCCTCAAGATGCCAATCCCTAGTAACCAGTTCTCTTTCTCATGTTATTTTGGATTTTATAAAGTCAGTCCAATAGGATAATACCTCGTTTGTTTACTGGTGAAGAAGGGAGGAACGTTGCTGGCATCGACTTCAAAAGAGAATTCTGAGAGGCTTCTAGGAATGGTTCTTTCAGGTGATCTGCAATAAATCCCATCCACCCAAAGAAGTCATTTCAATTTCAAATTTCCACACATTTTCTCATCAAGCATAAGCAAACACCTACTACACATGCATCTCTTGTGCTATATCGACCTAGTTATTAATAACAGTATTCATTAAACACCCAGTTATTCGTGCTGAGGAATGACTAAGCAATCTAAGAGAAAATTCATGGAAACAGACATGAATGCAGCTGAAATGTGAGGAAGGCTGAGATAACTGATATGAGATGTGATGAAAAGAAAGCCCCCCAACTCTAACTCTTCCAAACGCTACCTGGCAACTGGCAATTTAATTTACTGCAGCCAGCATACTCTGACAGCAAGGGATGAGACACACCACCGGCACACAGCAGGAGGGTGCACGCTAGAAGCAGTGGGTCTGGGTGGAGGCACAGGTCATCTCTACTTCTCTGAGCTTCAGTTTCTTTATAAAATGAAGTCGTCGGATCAGCTCATCTCTGAAGTATCAAATTTTAAAGTTTGTGCTTCTACTTATATAGAAAATGAATTGTGGTACAGTGCCCAGTATGAGGATGGAGGAGGAGATGCCTATGTTGAAACCTTTCCATTCATGCAAGGAACAGAATCTGGACACTCTAACCAGCATAAACATGGACCTATAAATAGTTTGGATGATTTCAGGTCAACCTGCTCCAGTCAGATCTGGATTGGAAAAAAATAATAAACTGACAGTAAAAAAAAATAAATAAATATATAGGTATAATTATATTTGCTAAAAATGTCAGGTAACAGACTATCCTTTTCTAAATACGTATAACTACTTTTCCCTTCTGAAAGCTTCAAAAGTGGCTGAACTGAGTGAAAATTCACTAGTGTTTTCATATTCAGATGTTGAAAAATGTCATTATTAAAAATCTAAGTTTAAAAATAAGACTCAAGATATATCATGTAAAGGTACAAATTCCCAATGATGAATGTCATCATATTGTATACCTAAAATGTACCAATAAACTTAATGAAAAAAGAAAAAAAAAAATCTGTCCACTTTGTTTCGCTCTACTTTTGTTAGTATCTTAGTCAATTAAATAACTTTAACAATAATCCACACTTTTTGTTGAACATGCACTCAGAATTAGTTTCTGTTACTGTACCCATAACTGATAACTAGGGTTTCCCTTCAATTTTATTTAAAAAACAAAACAAAACCTGAGAATCAAACGAGGCCCTCATATATGCTAAAAGCACACACTCTGAACTACAACTCTAGCCCGCTTGTCAAATTCTTGGTAATTTTTCTTCCACTTCTTTCCATTCTCAAAAAGAAGACTCAAAAACCTAGTACCATCCAAAGCTTTATGAGTGCTGACATGACACTCAGAAAGTTTGGATTTGGGGAGCACTTTGGATTTCGGTTTTCTGGGTTAGGGATGCTCAACCAGTTTAAATCAATGCAAATATTCCAAAATTCTGAACAGTCTGCAAACAAATACCTCTAGGAACAAGGATTTGGGATAAGGGATAGTTAATCTGCAATTTAATCTTCAGAAAGGCCACGTAATCTCTCTGAACCTTAGCTCTCTCATCTGTAAAACTGGAGGACAAGAATACCTCACAGATGAAAAGAAGTGATATTTGTAAGATAGCTTTCTATAGCAGACATACAGTAAATGCCAGATATCACTACTGTAAGAAACCCAAAAGTAGTGAAGCATGAGGGATGTTGCAACAATTTAAAATCCTTACATGATGGTTTAGACCACCTTAAAAAATACTATGTATGCCATATTGTTAATTATTCTGAAAACCAAGCTTCAGTTAGTATTATAAAACATACTGAAACTACTTTTTTAAATTTAGAGTCCGTTGCTAGTTTAAATAGTTCAGTCCCAGCATATCTGGTTGACCAGAGGTGTAATGGCTTGTATCTAGAGGTCCTCCCAAAGCCTTATGTGGTCACAGGTGGGGCTTTTCAGAGATGGCTGCATCTAGGGTGTATGATGCTGGGATTAAGTGTGTGATGCTGGGATTAAGGGTGTGTGATTACTAAATGAGTCCACCGATTGGTTTAGCATAGTTCTCCATGTGGATAATGGGAAGGCCCACCCTGGGTATAGGTGGCACCACCCAAAGGGTGGATAGCCTGGAAGGGATAAAACAGAGAGATGGCTGCTGCTGTTTCTTTACAATTTCGCTGCTTTACTGCCTTCTGCCAACCATGAACTGTTTCTCCTCTGCCATGCTCCTCTGCTATGCAAACCTGCCTTGGAGCCAGCCAACTGTGAACTGAAACCTCTACACATTGTGAGCTACAATAAACCTTTCCTCCTGTAACTTCAGGTCTTGATTATTTTGTCTCAGCAATGAGAAAAGCAACTAATACAGGAGGCATTTCCCACACTGGCTTATCTTAGGCATAGCTCAGGGAAAGGTGGAGAGGGAGAGCCTTTTGTGAGCTTTGCTTTCAGAGTAGATTACAATGGGGAGTAAAATCCTCTTTCTTACCAGGTACTTGTGGGTAAATTTGTTCAGCCAAGTATTCTCTTAGATCCCTTGGCCTTTGTCCACGAATGTCAACAAGTACTCGCGTTTCACTGGATGAAATCTGGTAGATGAGAACTGGGCTTGGATTAAGTAGAAGAAGTTCAGCATAATGGGGTTCAAACTGTGGTGCATCCTAAAAAAATAAAGAAATAAATATTTCAATGACTTTCAAATTTCATGTTACTTTTATTTTTCTACAGCTATTCTCCCACGGTACCTTCATAAGGAAGCCAACAAAATGAGATGAAACAGAAGCTTCAGTGGAGATCAGGTTTTTCCTGAACTTGGAGAAAATCCCATCTGCTACTACAGTCAATGGAGCATGAAGTTCCTATAACAGATAAAGAATACTCAGCTAAATGGTAGAAACACACAGTAAATTGTCTATTCTTAAAATCTGTGCGTGAGCAGAATTTAAAATAGTATAGGATAACATTAGAGGGCAGTGGAAACACCACGTGGGTGGGTGTAAGCGAACATGTGAGAGACACTTCCTCTGTGACCTAAGATCACCTCCCTTCACAGCACTCCCATCAGTCCAGCAGGGAACCAGGTGCAGTGGCACACACCTACCATTCCAGCACTTGGGAGGCTGAGGCAGGGGGATCACTGTGAGTTTGAGGCCAGCCTGGGCTACACAATGAATTCAAGGCCAACACAAACTACATAGAGACCCTGTTTCAAACAACAACAAAAAGAAAAAAACCTATTAGGGCTTACTCTCCACTTTTAACAGATAGGAGGGGAATAACTATAAAACAAGCAAGGGCCAGGTATGGTGGCACACACCTGTAGTCCCAGCACTTGGGAGCCTGAGGCAGGAGGACAGTCATGAGTTCATGGCCAGCCTAGGCTATATGGTGAGTTCAAGCCCAGCCTGAACTACTTAGCAAGACCCTGTCTTAAAAAAAAAAAAATGAATAAAAAAATAATAAAATAAACCAAGCCAGGATAACACAAGACAGAATCTCATTACCAACGCCATGGACGAGGCAGATTCATTTTGGAATTTTCTTTGTACAGTGCTTTCAATCAGTGACTAGAGCTTAGAAAATGTTTATGTTAATGGCTAAATGTACTTACTATCCTGCAGGCAGAGACCCTTGCAAAGCCTCTATTAGAGATCAGTTTCTAGGAGGGCACCCACCTACTGGAGCCGCCTGGAAGGAGCCTGGCCCTTTCTCAGCAGACGTCAACATAATCACAGACCAGAAACTGTCTTATTCTGCTTCCCTAGATTCTCCCCCTCTGCCTAGAACACTGGGTGTACAGTAACAGTACCATACCGATATTTAAAAATTAAGAGAGTAAATCTGTTATGTGTATTTTGTCACAGAATTTTTAAAATCAAGAAGGCTGAATCATTTACTTTATAGATTCTCTTACTTTTGCTTTTCTGACTTAAACAATTGCCTGTTTGCCCCAACCATTTGTTTCATACTGAATCTCTCCTTCTTCCTCCTTGGTACGGTTGATACACTGATCTTAGTTTTAAAAGTTTCTGCACAGCATTTTGGGTGCTCTATCAAAGCGCTGTGATCTGCAGCCCATGCTGTTGCACCAGGAGAGCTCAGTCCACGTGGGGAACAGTAAATGACTGCACCCATTCCTCTAAAGGACACTAGAAAGAGACAGAACACTATCTCTGGGGACGAGATGACACACATGTGCTAAGCCTCACCCTGACATCTCCGGTCCCTTTATCTCGGTACTTCACTCCAATCACGGCATCGTCTTCCTCCAGTAACTGCAGTACAACGCCTTCAATAAACTCTGCACTGAAGGGTAAATAAACAGCATATTTGGGCAATTTAAACTAGACATAAATTCCTTACTTCTTGCATAGAACAAGGTCTAGAATGACAAAGAAAACACATCAGTGAATTTTAGAAGTATGTGTGATTTCTATTTTGTAATTTACTTACACTGAATACATACTACAAATATAATTGTTTTAAAAGTACTTTAAAAAGTCTCATTAGATTTTTAACTAATTAAAAATAAAATGCATGCAGAGAAATGTTATATACACATATGCACACATAGAGGTGGAAAACAAACTGCAGCTTATCTAACAAATTCTTAAAAGTAGTTATATCCAGCCGGGGATTTAGCTCAGTAGTTCTGCTGCCTGCCTCGAAAGTGCAGGGTCCCGAGTTCAATCCCTGGTACCAAAAAAAGTAGTTATATCCAGTGAGAATATCCAAGGTAAATTTTACTATCTAGATTTTGGTGTATTTTTCCATTTTTACACAATGAGCATATTCTACTTCCGTGGGTATCAAGTACTTAAGGATAAGTCCACTTAATTCTTCACTTGCTTTGTCAACACTTAATTAAGACTACGTCAATCACATGAGTGTTCTTATGCTAAAAATGTCCTTATTTACAGTGCTTAACAGCTGCAGGCAAATATAAGGTAATGACCAAGAGAAGCCACCAGTCCTGCCATACTGGGTCCTCAGTGAGAACAAACAGGAGTTTCTCCTTGAAGTCCTCTATCCTGCCTTCCTACAAAAGGTACCATCACCACAAACACAAACTCCCAAGCAGGCACTCTTGTGGTACAATTACCATAAGCATGTCCTCTAAATTCCAAAAAGGGGGGCCAGGGATTTAGCTCAGTGGCACCTGCCCTGCAAGCACAAGGTCCTGAGCCTGATCCCCGGTACCGGAAAAAAAAAAAAAATTCGAAAAAAGGAAAATTCTCCATGGTTCTATGTCATTGAAAAGAAAATTACATGATAATTCTTAAGAAAGTCACCAAATATGGTCTTCTAACTCAGGGTTATTTTAGTATACCATGTTCTAGACTGCCCAAAATCTGATGAAGATCTCTACAATCTTCCTCGCACCAAGGCCAAGCTTAACCCTTGAACACTGTAGGTCTGAAGCTGCAGTCTTACTTGGGCTCTGCCATGGCTGCTTTCCGGAGATTCATGATGAATCTGCCATGATGGAAGGCTCTCCCGCTGTGCACCTGGCCGTCTTCGGAGGGAGGGTAGGTGATGTGCACCTCTGACTTGCTCTCCCGATCGTGCATTACGTAGCCGTTCATACACTGCGCATCGATGCCTTCCACGGCATCTGCAAAGCGATGATTCTGTTAGCATGCTCAGGCTCCAAGTGCCAAGAGCAACACCAAGACACTGAAACCAGTATCTGCTCCAGAAGACCACAGGCCAACTGGGGAACTGTACATTAGTGGAACTAGTACAGAAATCTTACTGTTTCTGGCAGTCAACAGGTGTCTTAGCAAAACTGTATTATCACTGAAAGATGACAGTCCGGCCTGGTAGCTCATGCCTGTGATCCCCGTACTCGGGAGACTGAGGCAGGAGGTGCAGGGAGTGCGAGGCCGGGGCTACACCATGAGTTCAAGTCATCCTGAACTACACAAAACAAGCAAGTGAGCACCCAGTACAACTCCCAGCTCTGTAATTCCACTTTGCCTCAGTCATGAGCAAGGACGTAAGCATGAGGAGAAATGACCCACAGTCCTGTCCTGAGGTAACGGGCTCTGTCCATGGAGACTTAGGGGCCGTGAGGCAGCCCATGGGGGAGCACTCGGCCGCAGTGGGGTCACGGAGAGTCCCTGGGTCCCGAGGAACGGCCTGGTTTGACACCACCAAGGTAGCATGCTGGTTCGGGAGGCACAGCCAAGTCAAGAGCAAGGACCTCCAGGACCACCCCACGCGCCCTGGGAGCCCAGCAGCCTCTCCCAGGATGTGCAAAGCTCTCAAGGGCATCATTCAACCTCTGCGGCTGCTCTTTGACCTTCATGAGATCTGCCCGCGAGGCAGAGCCCAGAAACCAGCTCTGCTTGCATGCCATGCAACAAGCAGAGCAGCCGACCAGACACAAGACAGAAGCGCCGGCGGCTCTCTAAGGGACAGCACTGGCCCTGGCTCCTGACTCACAGATTTCACCGGCACACAGAGAAAAGGCACAATGCCATTTCTACTGCCCATGCCATTTCTGTAGAGACAGCCGGGAGAGTCCCTAAACCAACTCTCTGGTGCCTTATAATACTGAGTCTTTCATTTCTCTTCATAAAGAGTAGCTCAAACTATGCAACTAATTTAGTAATTTCTGATGATGGTTTTATCTGTAGCAATATCTATATTATCTATTATTAGTGAAAAACTGAAGAGAACAAAATTTTGTAACAAGTTGCTCTTAAGTATTCAAAACCCTTGACTTTTTATTTAATGACCACGTGATATCCAATAGCTGGCCGAACACCTAAAATCTGATTTCCTGTGTTCCAAAAGTATCTGTGTATTTTCATGCTTCTTATTTGTTGAGCAAATAAACATCGCACCTTTAGTCACCTCCTCCTCCTCCTCCTGACACAATGTTTCTTTACACCCTCATCTCCATCACCATGCAGACTCCAGTACCCAAAACCCTCTTTTCTGTCTCGCATCCCAGTCTCACTACTGTCCTATTTTATTTTAGACAGGGTCTTGCTCTGTAGTTCAGGCTATCAGGACCTCACTGTGTAGCCCCGGCTGGCCTCGAACTCAAGGCAACCCTAACCCAAGTGCTGGGATTACAGGAGTGTGCCACCACTCCTGGCTCATCCTATTTCTTTTCTGTCATTAGAAAAGCTCTTCAAGATAGTTTTCTAGTCTCAAATTTTTCAACTGCCAAGTCATTTCAATCTGCTTTCTGGTCACTATCACAAATGGCCCAGTGCAGTGCCTACCATCTGTATGCATCTTACTGAAGAGAGTGGCCCTTTCCAGATGCATGCCCACCCTCTCAGGAGAAACACTAATCTATGTTGACCTAAGTGACATCAAACAGTTCCAGCTGTCTTCTGTCAACTGTCATCCTGCCAGTTCCTTCTGTCTCTTTTGCGTGAGTTTCCTAGGACTTAAGTTTATTCTGTCTTCTCCTTTTTTCTCATGCTCTCCTTAGATGGACTCAGTCATTGTCATGGCTTTTACCTATCACAAACACACTACCCTGTCAAGCTCAGAAACTCAGAATGCTGGCCAGCCCAAACTCCTCCCCTGAACTCTGATTCACATATTGTATTTCACATCTCCACTTTAAACAGCTTTCCCCCAAGTTTCTTCCACACCTGTTCCTCTCTCAGGTCTTCTTATCAGCAAATGGTAGTACCATCAACCAGCTGCTAAGTCAACACCTGTGAAAGGCCGGGGATGTAGCTCAGTGGCACCAAACCTCCCTGGCAAGCACAAGGTCCTGAGTTCAATCCCCAGTACCATACACAAGAAAACAAACATAGGAATCACTCTGATAGCATCCTATTCTTCAAATCTCACACCAATCTCTTATTAAGCATCTTTTCTCACTGCTGGGACACAATACCCAACACCCAAAATTTAAAGGAGGAGAAGTTCATTTTGGCTCACATTTCAGTCCACAGTTGGCTGGCTCCAAGGCAGAGGGTGAGGCACAGGGGACTGGCGGAAGAATAACTGCTCCCCTAGTCAAGCTTGGCAGGCAGGGAGTCAAGGGAGGCAGGGCGGGAGATCCACCCTTCCCAAGTCACTCACTACCCCAGCTCCTCTCAGCAAGGCAGCCCTGGCACCTCCACGGGCCAGCCCTCTCCCTAAGGTGCTGACTGCAAGCACATGAGACTCTTGGAGGATATCCAGAGACGAGCTGTAAAGGAAGTCACACATTTCTCTTGATTTCACTCTCAATCTGTCCACTTCTCTGTATCCTCTGCCACTGTGCTAGACTGAAACACCATCATCCATCGCCGGGATTTAACAACGAGTGACCCACATCTCCTGGCCTGACTATCATCACAGTCTATTCTCACGGTCCATTCTCCATACCGTCAAACAGCATTCTACAAATGGCAGGCTGTGACTCAATGGTAAACTGTGAAAGGAATTCTGAATTGCATAATCAGGTGAAAACTAAACACACATTGAAAATGCAAAATAAAACAAATTTCAGGGTTGGAAATGTTATGCAGCTCTGTAGTAGAGCACATGCTGAGCATGCAAACCCATGGCACCACGTTATTGTGTTTTTCTTTTAAGACAGAAGATGTTACTGTATGAGTTATTCTTTCTAAACTAAAACCTCAGTACTCAGTCTAACTGCAATGTTGGCACTTTATGATAATTAAGTGGGTTTTGGGTTGCAGTTTGCAAAGCCATCACTGCACCAGAACACCAGCGGCCCCAAAAGGGTGGAAAATTTAGTCAGGCTGAAATATATATGGATTCAATGTGCTACTCAGAGTAGCTACTGAGGCTTGAAGTCACTGCTGTAGATGCAAAATGAGATCATGTCCCCTCCAGCTGCTCTGCAGAGCCTACATGACCTGGCTGCTGCCTGCCTTGCCAACCTTACTTTCCCGCCACTCTTCACTTCCTCTTTATTCACTCCTTCCTAACTATAGGGCTCTCCTTTCCAGTTCCTTAAAGAAAATACGAAACACATCCATGGTGCCTCCAATATGCAAAGCACTACTCTGAATGCTTTATGTGTATGAATTCACTCAATCCTCATAATAACAGTGTAGCAGAGGCACTTAGTATACCATTTAGAAAGCAAGGGAACTAATACACAGGAGGTTAAGCTACTTCAGCCAAAGCTGGTTACTTAGGTCACACAGCTTTAAAGAGCCAAAGCAGCAGGTATTCAAATCCAGCCAATCTAGTTCCAGAATCAATGCTTTTAATTAATGCAACACATCTCCTACCACACACACCAATCACGTAGTTTCTCACCTTCCAAGCTGGCTGTATTATGTACTCTGTTCCTCGAGAATAGACAGTTTCCCTGTCTTGTACACCAGTGTATGGCACCAGTACAGCACCTCATGCAAAAGTAGTAAATAAATATTTCCTCAGTGAGTATAGCTGCTGCTTAAGAGGCACTGGCTAAACAGATGAATGATGCCTTAATAAAATCCTCTAAGTACCAGGACTGTAGCACATATGTAACACACATTTTCAAATGAAGTTTCCTTTACCTTTCACTAAAACTCATGTCTTCATTCTGGGGAGTTTTCCCATCTTCAATTTTGACCATTACAATTTTTCAGATATTTCATTGTATCTTATGAAGTGTAATTCCTATCTCCTCATACTTCTAAGTGCTTATTTTCTCCTTTGCTCTCATAGTCATGCAAATTTGTTGATAAAAAGAGTATTCTAAACTTTCTAAGTGAAACTATGGTGCAATACCTTTTTTAGCAGCACAGTCTAAATGATGATACCTGCTGAGACAGAACTCTCCTGGAAACCAACGTGAACCTACCTCCAAGATCGAGGTCTTTCAGAACACAATAACCGCCAGGCTGCAGAAATTCTCCAACTATCCTGTCAGGCTCTTTTAAGTCTCTCTCAATTACTGTCACCTTTCTTCCATCCCTGGAGAGCACTGCTGCCAGAGCAGAGCCAAGTACGCCAGACCCCACGATGATCACTTCTGGATCATTCAAAGAAGACGCTGAGATGGAGGTAGCTGCTCCTGTTAAGGCTGTTTCGGACATATGGATTCCTTTTCTATGCTGTTTAATAAAAAACGGAATTTTACTTCGAAATTTGTTAGCCTTAAATCGTATTACCACCATATCAATGCAGCAGACTTTTGCATCTTAGCCAAAAGCTTGACCCCAAACATTATTAACGAAATGAACTGCTTATATTTGAAAACCCAAACCCTATATAAAAATCAATGGTATCAAAGTACGGATTAAATAAATATGTATATTATTCCAATAAAATTAAATATATACATGTATTCCTTTTTCCAAACGTGGTACTTAGAAAATGCCATTATACAAACATATTTAGAAATGCACACCAGGCCAAATAAACATATATAAGGGACTCAAAGGCATATAACAGGTAAATTCTATCATTAATTACTCCATGCTTCAAATACATATTGAGTATCTACCAGATGTAAATATCTTACAACTTCTGATTTGACTTCATGCTATACTACTCAACACCTTTTACATATTTCTAAAGATACCTTAAATTTTCTCCTTCTGGATTTTCCCTATCTAAAATCAGTTTGACATAACAAAAAGACTGTCAAATCCTGGCTACATATTTGTTAGCTGAGAATTACTTAAATCTGTAAAATTATAAAAGAGCCCAGTAGCACTGCTTTGCTGCCGTCTGTCCTCCATGAACTGTTGCCCCCGTGCCACCCTGTCTTGGCGCCAGCTGATTATGCACTGAAAACTGTACACCACATAAACTGTAAGTGAACTGTAAGCCAAATAAACCTTTCCCCCTTTAAAAAAATAAAATAAAATTATAAAAGAACAAAAATAACTCTTACTGCTCCTTGGGATGTGACTTGTTTACAACTTTACTCAGAAACATACAACCGCATATTTAAGTTGTCTCTTCCTTTTTCCCCAGCCTGACACTCCTAGAAGCCCAGTCAAAGCGCTGGTTCTCAGCTCAGGACAAGGGCAAACCCTGACCCTTCCCACTGGACTGACAGCAAAGGCTTTTACACTGATCACAGACAATGAAAAGCTCTGTGTTGGGAGGTCTATGCCTGCTGAGAATGAAAGGACATGTTAGCTTTTTAAAATGAACAATTCAATCTTACAACAAGTATTTATTCTTGGATTCACAATCTGATATGTTTCAGATACAGAATTGGAAGGAACCATCTTTCTTGAGTTCTCTGACCTTAATGATTAAGGTAGGAATAAATTCCAATTAAAGATTTTAATAAAGAGCTCAGACAAAAAGGGAAAGTAGAAAGTCTAAAATCCTTCAGAACGCTAATGTTCTGTTTTTCTAATATTCACCCAGCATGGTTTTACCTTTAGAATGGATTTGGGCTTTGTCCATTTGTTACTATAATCTCTTAGAGAAATACTGTTCTGTCCTTTACCAAGGAGAGGACAGGAAAGTCTATTCTTCCCACCACTAGGTCATGATGGCCAGAACAACTGGTTACACTAAGTTACGGACCTGGGAACAAGACAAGTCCCTTTTGTCATCTGAACTAACTTTTATTAGTTTTTCTTCCTAAAATCTTCCCATTACACACACACACACACACACACACACACACACACACACACACACATGCACACGCAGGGTCCTGGGGGAGAGCTCTGGAGGAAATCAAGTCTTTCAGAGCCAGGTCAATGCAGCAAATGTGAATAAAACTCGCTACTCCACAGATGACACCCTACACTACCTAGTTTCTAAGGAATGCAGAGAGAGGCCGAGGCAGTCACAAAAGGGAACCAATGACTGCTCCCAGGTTTTCTACTCCAAAATTTCTCTTCATAGCGTGGAACTAAGTCTTCCAGCCTCCTGGACTCCTAGTGCACAGAAAGTTATACCAGATAAAAATACCCAGAGTTTTCAAACAGTGAGTTAAGGGTTTCCTCTTCCTTCTTTCCCATTCCTCCAATCCACATGCACTCTACTGAACAGATAGCACGGCTCAGAATGCTCCTAATAGCACCACAGCACCTTTAGACTAATAAAGGTTCCACAGGTACTTATGAGATGGTTAGGGATCAGGCATTTTGGAAATCATTAAATGAAATCATTTAATCCCATAACTACCAGCAAGGGTGATGCTATCCCCATCTAACAGAAAAGGCAAGTGCTTCTTGCAGACATTTGTCAGCCAAAAAGTTCTAAACCAAGTAAGTCGCTCTCTCCCACAAACCTTGCGAAGCCGTGCTGTGGATACACCAAATGCCACAGCTCCGCAATCTTGAGCACTCTCTAAGGCATTCATCCCTTGGTCGGTCCCTGGATCTAGTCTCTTGCCTGACGACTTTGCCTCCATTCTTGCACCCCAACAAGCCCTTCTTCATTACACCAAATGGGCTGTTCTTTCTAAAATGGGAAAACCAGGCACACCTGAAATCGCCCGCACTTAAAATCTCCACTGCTCTTGGGGACAAGTCCAAACACCCACGGCCAGCAGAACCTACCTGATCAGACCCTGGAGCTTTCTCCCCTCGCATCTCCTACCCCGGACTCCACTCCTTTCTCAAGGATGGTAACTTCACGTCACTATCCTGGGACATTGCTCAACTAGGAATCACTCGACCAAGGACACCATTGTATCAATACTCAACACTCCAGTGCCTGGGGGACGGGGAGGCTTTTTTGCCCAAGGTTTTAAAATGTTGAGCACTTCTGCTGCTTTTCAAACTCTGCTGTCACGTTCCCCGGCCACCTGTTACTTCTTCAAAGCAGGACTCATCTACAGCGTTTCTTCTGTCCCAGACACAATGTGCAATCCTCACCCGAGGACTTAAATAATTTTTCTATCAGGGAAAGTGATTCTGTCCTTCAAAATGAAGTTCTAACATTTCGTTTCACCTCTCCTAATCACACCCATTCCAAACCCGATATGAGGGGCAATCAACACTAAAAGAAACTAAATGTTTTCATCTCTCCTAATAGGGCGTAGCGAAGGCACACTCCAGCTTTAAACGTCATTTCGACCCAATGAGGGTTTACTGTAGGGTACGCAAGGTGGCGATTTCGCCCTCTGGGACTGTGAGGACAGCTCGATCCCTCACCATCCCACTCACTCGCCTGCCCACCCCGAAGGCACCTACCCTCAGGGACTCCAGCTGCCTTGTATTGGCTGCCGCAGGCGGCGACTTGGCCCAGAAGAAGCCGATGACGGGCAGCCCCGAGAGGACGTCAAAGAAGACGGCGGCCTGGGAGCCGCTCCGGGGGCGGCAGCGGTAGGACAGCACGAGGCCGAGCGACAGGAAGACCAGCGCGGCCAGCAGCAGCTCCCGGACGGCCAGGCTCACGAAGTCCCCGCACTTCTTATAGAGGTAGGTGAAGGTGGCGATGCCCAGGAAGGTCCACATGGCCGCGGAACGGCACCGGCACGGCGGGGCCGGACTCCAGGCGAGCAGCGCCCCACGCCGCGAAGGCCCCGTCAGGGCATCGGAGGCCGGCGGCAGGGGCGGGAGGCAGGCCGTCTCTCGGGCTGGGCAGCGCGCGGACGGTCCGCTCGGCGGACTCGGCTCCCGGGGCAGCCTGGCTGCAGGCTCCAGCAGACGCCTCGGCCCAGAGGCCGCTCGAATCCTCGCTCGCCGGCCCCCTCCCCGCGCGGCGCCGCCGCAGTCGCCTGAGCAACCGCCACAAGCAAGCCCAGCGCTCGCGCCAGCCCGCGCCTCGCCGCCGGGGCGGGCTCGCTCCGGGTCCGGGGCCGGGGGGCGGAGCCCGATCCTGGCCCCGCCCGCACCGCCCCCTCGCCGCCGCCGGCCAATGAGGGCACGCGCAGCGCGGTAAGCCGAGATGGCACTATGGCGCGCTCGGCCAATCGCTGGCGGCGCAGTTCGGAGGCGACTCCGGGAAAGGCGCTAGGGCGATGTTGCGTGGTCAGGGTGGGACGTGGGGTGGGCGCCGGCCGCCGGGTCGCGCCGGGGAGGGGGCCGGCCTGCCCCGGGGCGGGGCTTGCGGAGGGCCCGCCCACCGCCCAGGCGCGGGAGTCCGCGCGGGGCGGGACGTGACGGTCCGGCGCACCTGCGCGTCAGAGGGCGGTGGCAGGAAGGAGGCGTGGACTCCCCAGGGTCGCGGCGCCGGCACGCGGCGGAGGCTGCGCTACCCGACGGGGCGCTGCCCTAGCGCTCGCGCCCGAGGCCTGGGCCCTCACCGACCACTCGCAGCTGGAGGCCCGGAGGGTCGGTCTTCCCTGCCCGCCGGAAGGCTCCTTCTGATAAAATCACTCACAGCAACTCGCTCGGTGCTTTCCTTTTAGCTGCTTTTCACTCAGCGCATCCTCCGTGAAAGGAACAGAATAAATGAATGAATGATAAAGGACAGGCGGTGTACAAGGAAGGCCCGATCCAGATGCCGCCCGAGCCCCGAGCCCCTCGGCCTCTCCAAGCAGTTGGCGAGTTCTTCGGGAAAGTAGGGGCCCCGGCACCCGGTGCCAGATGCGTGCTCTGCAGTTTAGGAAACACGGCGCCCCTGATACTGAGTTCATCTGCTAATATTTGTCCGAACACTCACACGGCATCATCTGACCCTCACGACAACTTCTTTTTATAAAAGAGAAAATAAAAGTTACGGCAGGGAGTGGAGCTACCGTATGAATCTGGCTGTCCTCGCGGCCACCGCGCTCTGCTGAGAGACTGCAGGCTTGGGAGGCGGGCCCTGGCTGAAGAAAGCCAGGCCTGGGTCCAGCCCTTGAGGATGTGGGGACACAGTGGGGCGCTCCTCCTCCGTCACCCTGAGGCTCCCAGCCCACACCCCGGAGCGCAGGATTCCTCTGCACCGTCCATGTCTCAGGACCTCACCACAGGCCTAAACGCAGTGGGGCAAGGTGACCTGGAGGTGAAACCTCTGAAACTGAGCCAAAATTACCCTTCCCTCCCGTTAAGTTGCTCATCGCAGGTCTTTTGTCACAGCAACGAAACACAAACACAAGTGGCTTGACTAAATCACAGCTTGTAAGTGACAAAACCAAAAGTTAAACTGGTCTTTAAATCTTGTACTCCCCCAACCCCCTTTTTTGAGACAGCGTCTTGCTAAGTTGCCCAAGTTAAGCTAGACCTTGTGATTTTCCTGCCTCAGCCTCCCATAGTGCTGTGTCACCAGGTCTGGGTCCCCAATATTATCAATAAATGCCCTTTCCTCTGTTATAAAACCAAGACTTTCCCCAACAATATTCTTCACTGGTATCCAAACATTTGTTGTTTGAAATACACATCAAAGTAAAAAGACCTGGAAAATCAGTTCAACAAACTGTTTATCAGTATCTACTTATTGCTAAAATCATGAGGCTTGAGTAGTTGACTCTAATAGAGGAAACACTGTATCACCAGAATGATTATTTCTTGCTTACCCTGTATTAAAGACTATCATGAGGATTTTTTTATTAAGGAGGTAAATTTGTATTATTAAGGAGGTAAATTTATTATTTATTAAATAT